TTTTATTCTTTGTTATTTTTTCAATGCAAAGCTGCACAAATAGCTATCTGTGCTTTTTCCACCACGAGGTCTCGAACTCCAGATTTCATCGTTGTAAGTCCATAAGCGTACCGCTGGCTCCCTGGTGGACTTTTTCTTTTATGAAGAAGGATTCGATTATTCTTTTTTTTATTTTTGAGAAAGGTATTCTACAGTTTTGAAAAAAAAAAGAGCTATAGGCGATGTCTGTAGTGTGATAGAATAAGCAGAAAGAGGTAAAGAGAAATAACGAGTTAATTTCTTAATAAGCCGTCTCTTGAAAGTCACAATCCATTTTTATTTCTCCCTCCCACCCTATCGAAACATCACTAACTGAATTGTCTTTTAAAACTGTTTGTTTCCGATAGTAGACAAGAGCTATCTGAGTATAGCCGCCACTAATTTATAAAAGAGGAGAAATCTGCTAGTTAACAACACCTTCCAATAACGTTTGAAATACCCTCGTCTTACAGAATAGTGAGATCTGACCGTCACACTTATAGCACACCCACGGTCACAAATTGGGGAGTGCGTATTTGCGTCGGCTTGACGCGACCATCAAACTTAAGGTTCACAGTCCGGGCACGACGACTGCTGGCCACGTCCGGCCCAGTTACACTGAGTATATAAGTTGTGGATGTACAAGAGCATGTCGTTGAGAAAACGTACAAATCTTGATAATTATTACTTTCTGTAAAAACAGCTGTAAGAAATGTATAGACGAAATAAGCTGATTTCTGACTCATTAAAATGTATATGTGTTAGAAATTTTGTAAACGTAAGACATCTAATAATATGGGATGATTTAGTTAATATAGGCACATTTCATGAATTAAATAAAATCATTTAAAAGTCGTCGTGTAAAACCAGACAAACACTCATATTTCAAAGTGATAGTTCATATTGTACATTTACTTGTACATTAATGCCGCTATGTATCAAACGTATATTTACTGAGGAAGGCCTTTTAACACAATATCACAGCTACTCATAAGATCCATTTCAACACGACGTCACAATGGTTGAACAGTTTATTTACTCATAAAGTCAATTTCAACACAACGCTCCAACAGTTCACCTACTAATAAAGTCCATTTCAAAACTCTAATTCAAAAGTTGATCTACTCATAAAGTCTATTTCAATACAAAATTTGAACAGTTGAGATAATCATAAGGTCTACTTCAACACAACGCTTTAGACACATTTCAACATAATATCATAACACCTCAATAATTCAACAACTCATATGGTCTAAACACACAAAAGGTTACAATGTATAGCAGAGACGGCTGGTATGGGTATTAAAAACTTTAATTGAAATAAAGTACAAGAACAACGTTTCGACCTTCTTAGGTCATTTTCAGGTTAACATATACAGTTTGAAACTGACCGTTACTGGGCACATGTCTTAGGGACGAGAGTGTGAACAGGTACGAGATTGTAGGGAGCAAAGCAGTTAGATGTTAGGTGATTAATATAGGTAAAAAGGTGTTCTTTTATGTTGGTTCAATTTTGGTTTGAGTTCTTGTATAAGTAAGGCTTCTTTGATTTTTTCATTTTTTTTGCCTTTGTTTCTCTACTGAATATGTAGGTGTTTTCTATGCTTATGTTGTGTTTATTTGTTTTGCATAGAAGTTTGAAACGTTGTTCTTGTACTTTATTTTAATTAAAGTTTTTAATACCCATACCAGCCGTCTTTGCTATACATTTTTTACTTCAAGAGGGTTTCACGTCATCGTTAAAAACGTAACAATACTTCAATAGTTCAGCTACTCAGTTGACCTATATACACACAACGTTAAAATACTTCAATACTTCAACTACTCATATGACCTATATACACACAACGTTAAAATACTTCAATACTTCAACTACTCATATGACCTATATACACACAACGTTACAATACTTCAATACTTCAACTACTCATATGACCTATATACACACAACGTTACAATACTTCAATACTTTAACTACTCATATGACCTATATACACACAACGTTGCAATGTTTCAATAGTTCAACTACTCGTATGACCTAGATACACACAACGTTACAATACTTCAAAAGTTCAGTTACTCATATGACCTATATACACAACGTTACAGTACTTTAGTAGTTCAGCTACTCATATGACCTATATACACACAACGTTACAATACTTGAATAGTTCAACTAATCATATGACCTATGCACACAACGTTACAATACTTGAATAGTTCAACTAATCATAGGACCTACACACACACAACGTTACAATACTTCAATAGTTTAGCTACTAATATGACCTATTCACACACAACGTTAAAAATACTTCACTAGTTCAAGTAATCATATGACCTACACACACACAACGTTACAATACTTCAATAGTTTAGCTACTCATATGACCTATTCACACACAACGTTAAAAATACTTCACTAGTTCAAGTAATCATATGACTTACACACACACAACGTTACAATACTTTAATAGTTTTGCTACTCATATGACCTATTCACACACAACGTTATAATAATTCAATAGTTCAATTTATCATATGATCTATACACACAACGTTACAATGCTTCAACAGTTCAGCTACTCATATGACCTATACACACACAACATTACAATACTTCAATAGTTCAAGTAATCATATGACCTAGATACACACAACGTTACAATACTTCAATAGTTCAACTAATCATATGACCTAGATGCACACAACGTTACAATGCTTCAACAGTTCAACTACTCAACACATCACTTCATCCATCATCTGACGTGAGGTCTATTTCAACCCATCAGCTGAAATAAGGTCCATTTAAAGAAAACATCTTAACAGTTCAACTGCTCGTAAAGTCCATTTCAGCCCAACTCTTCAACAGTTTAGCTGCACATAATGCACATGCCAACACAACGTGACAACGCTTACCATTTAAGGTGCTCATCCGAACACAACAGTTAAACAGTGTAGTACCTCATAAAACATTTCAACACGCTACTTCAACAGTTCAACTGTTCACTGGCAGTTTTAACATAGTTGTAGAACGCGTCAAAAATTGATAATTCATGAGGCCACTTTCACACAATGGTCTAAGATGATGTTCACATACTCAATTTCCACCCTGTGTGATAACTGTCCAAATTACTTTCGTCACTACAAACAACGTTTAGTTTTGGAACCATAACACTATTGAAATGTACTATCTCTAAGCTATGTGTAAACAGTGTAGGGTACGATTTTACCTTCACCAAGTAACAATTATCGAATGCCATTTATGTTAGAACCGTAGCTGTATAACCCTGTTCTTTACTTGCAGTACCCATGTTTGGGAATGAGTTAGAGTACTGGTCGAGCCATATGTTAAATGTTGAAGCGTAGCCCCATCGTCTGATGCCAGACTAGATAAACTTTAGGTATATCCGTGAATCTTTAAGAATGAATATATATATATTTTGTCTTTAGTACTTCAAGAAGAGTTAAAGAAAACTAGAAGATGTTTCAATCTGTTCTATTTTCATGAGGAATCAAATAAAGTTCCTTTCTTGCTACCGCATATTAACCACTCAATAAAATAAGAGCCATGCTTTGTTTGTGTAAAGAAAATAAAATACATGCCCATTTTATTATTATCATTATTATGCATTGACTGTTTGTAGTAAATTATCTTTCTCAAATCATATCTATACGTTAGGCCTTAATGAAACTGACACTGTATTGTCAACTGTAAAATTGAAAAAAGTGCACCTTCAACAAAATTCTGGGGCAAACAATAAGAAACGTAATCCAACAAAGGTTTCTTTCATAATATTTATTACATTTTAAAGCTCAGCACGTTCCTGTATACAAAGTTTAATCCAATAAACAACGTGTTCGTAATACTACAAACTACAGAATTCTAAGTTTAGCGAGTACAAGAAAGTACCCAGCTTTGTGGAAGCATTACTATTCTGAGCAACAGAACCGGTGAAAACAACCGGTGATAATAGTTAGAATCAAATTAGTTTATCTATATAGAACTCACGTTTCACTACATGAATGACAAGTGCTAATAATATTTCTTTTTGTTATTTAAACATTAAACAGCAAGGTACACAAAACGTTCATATTTTCAAATATCTTCACTAACGGCAAGTTACCAAACAACTACTCGTTCACATTGAGTTATATATAGTTTAATTCTAATAAACATATGGCTGCAATTATTGAGTCATCAGAACTACCTTACCATGGTCACAATAAATATTTAATTGTACATAGCTGATACGTCAGTCGTATACAAACATGACAAAATTGTAACATGTCAGTCGTATACAAACATGACAAAATTATAACATGTCAGTTGTATACAAACATGACAAAATTGTAACATGTTAGTCGTATACAAACATGACAAAATTATAGCATGTCAGTCGTATACAAACATGACAAAATTATAACATGTTAGTCGTATACAAACATGACAAAATTATAACATGTCAGTTGTATACAAACATGACAAAATTATAACATGTTAGTCGTATACAAACATGACAAAATTATAGCATGTCAGTCGTATACAAACATGACAAAATTGTAACATGTTAGTCGTATACAAACATGACAAAATTATAGCATGTCAGTCGTATACAAACATGACAAAATTATAACATGTTAGTCGTATACAAACATGACAAAATTATAGCATGTCAGTCGTATACAAACATGACAAAATTATAACATGTCAGTCGTATACAAACATGACAAAATTATAGCATGTCAGTCGTATACAAACATGACAAAATTATAACATGCTAGTCGTATACAAACATGACAAAATTATAACATGTCAGTCGTATACAAACATGACAAAATTATAACATGTCACTCGTAAACAAACATGACAAAATTATAATACGAACATGTTTTTTTCTCTAGAAAATTAATAGAGTAAATTAATAAACAATACCATATACTAATCACATGAAAGAAGTGTTTTAGCTAAATTTTTCTAAAATAAATTAATCACACAAATCTCATTATTGTCTCGTGAAACTTTCACTTAATAAAATTCATCAATCGAACCATACTCTGACGACACTAACTTTTATTTCAACTTCTAATTTAGATAAACTAAGTTCTTCAGAATGATCTTATTCTGATGTTATGAAAGATTTATTCCACCTTTCAACTTAGTTGAAGTTCATCAGAAGTACTTCAGTATTACTACATCATAAGTTCATCAGAAGCACCTCAATATTACCTCATTATAAGTTCATCAGAACTACCTCAATATTACCTCATCATAAGTTCATCAGAAGTACCTCAATATTACCTCATCATTAGTTCACCAGAAGCACCTCAATATTACCTCATCATAAGTTCCTCAGAAACACCTCAATATAACCTCACCATACACTAGTTTCATCTTCACATTCAATTTAACTGAAGAAAGTTCACCAAGATGATCCCGTGAAAAGTTTATTGTTACTGAAATAGGTTTATCAGAATTATCTCATCATGTATTAGGAAACCTTTGTTTCAACTTTTGATTTAGCTGTTAGTAATTTCACCAGCTTGGCTTCATTCTGGCACTATTAAGGCATTATCTAAAATCAATCCAACAGAAATAATTTCTTAAAGACTTGTTAGATCATGTCTTGAAGGTTAATACCTCGCAGCAGAAAGAGGGTTTTAAATTTAGCTAGTTTAATCTCCTGTACCTGTAAATATAACGAATCCTCAAGAACCCAATGTGGCGAAGTTCACAGCTTTGATTGGCTATCAGGATTTGTGACCCGTATCACCGCTCTAAGTCCTAGTATTTGTACAGAGACACCTAGGGTTTATAAACAACAGCTGTTAAGGTAAAACACAGGAATGTCTATGGATTTCATATTCATATTTTTATGAAAATATTATGGGTTTTAACTTAAATGTCCTTTTTCGTAAATTCTTTACTTACTCTACAGATATCTTCCTGTGAGCCTGATATTAAAGTTCTGAATCATTAAAATTATTAATGATTAATTCAGAATACACCATAAAGTCTTGAACAAGAATAATGATCGTCAGCAAAGAAAACCAAGTAGACGAGAGGACACATGCCTTCCGAGAATAATAATAGAAACATAGGATGTTTGGAGTCATCGCACACGAGTTGAATGTCTTTCATCATTTCCTTGCCATTCCGGCTATATTAACCGACTGGTAAGTTCAGGCAATATGCTCTAATATCTTAGAGTATACTTTTCTTTTGATCGAGTCTTATGTGCTATCCTATAACCTGCCTATATCCATCTACTTAAACTGTACACTTCGAAATTTATGAGGAGATTGTAGCAGAGTTTGACACAATGATAACAGTTAATCCTTAGGAAAAATCATTAGCCTCCTAGCCTAAGGTTGTTAAATTTACTAGACTTCATTTCGCGATATATTTATTAGTCATGATTACGTCTTGTGATAAAGGTCGCGTCTTATTCTTTTGTGACTATTATATTTCACCATCTTCAAGCATTCGTGCCTTTTTGGTTTAATCACGCAGGTGATCGAAATTAAGCACCCGCAGCTGGTCCAATTTTTTATAGTTGTTGTGTCAGTTTTTTGTTATTTTCCCACAGCTGGTTGAATTTTTGATAGTTGTTGTCTCAGTTTTTCCTTATTTTCTCACAGTTGTTGAATTTTTGATAGTTGTTGTCTCAGTTTTTCCTTATTTTCTCACAGTTGTTGAATTTTTGATAGTTGTTGTCAGTTTTCCTTATTTTTCCACAGCTGGTTGAATTTTTGATCGTTGTTTCTCAGTTCTTCCTGTAGAATTCATTCTAAAATATTAACACACTAAGAGTAATCCATCTGATCTATCTCTTCGTTTTTCACTCACCTATCGTCACATTTTAAAACTGAGTATGTTAAAAGCATCAGTGAATCCTGAGATGTTATCATAAGTATAGTGTAAGTTTGGTTGATAACAAAAATAATTCCTCATTGTGAGAAATGGTAACATTAATTTGTCGTGACAACACTATAGTGTAAGTTTGGTTGATAACAAAATAATTCCTCATTGTGAGAACTGGTAACATTAATTTGTCGTGACAACAAATAAGCAGCAGCAGATTATTCCATTTGATCTGATATACAACCATCCAAATATCGAATGTCCATAAAACACAGTCGCCATGCTGTTTTGTTTTTTAAGTTATTTGTTATACCTCAACCAATCCACAATAAACCTATGTTTGACGTCACATTTTGACGAGTTTCGTAAAGAACGCAATTATTTCTTATTCACCAATTCCACTAGTGTAATAGTAACAGAGGTAGTCTTCACTGACAACAATATGAAAATAATGGGACTTTTTTTTCTTTGGTGTAAGAATTCGAGTCAAACTTAGTATCAGTTCAACTAACAGAATAAGATAAAATCCAATCAAGTTTTAGGTTATTACTAATAAGGGTCAGATGGAATTCAAGAACGTAAATAAGACAAAATAACTGATGACAGTATAGAAACCAAGTTACGAGAGGATGGTTGGGAAAACCTAGAATTTCCAAAAGTACTAAAACTCAGGTTACCACTAATTTTACAGAAATTGTTGTCTAAGGGACTGGGAGGGGGACAAGGGAGGATGGTAGGCATTACTGGATATTATATCGGAATCTTGATTCGAGAATGTAGACCCTTGTCTCTTGAGGACCAAATACCGACACAAATTCCTGGCTGGCCCACAACACGGCTGAAGGAAGTGGTAAAGAAGGGGAGTAGATACCACGGGAAGAAAAGCGATCCAAACAACACAAGTGAACGCCCTGTCGAAGTGGATTGTATTATCGAGGGTTTCGACAATGAAGTGTTTAAAAAGGCGGGTAAACTGGAGAGGTAAAAGACAAACGATGTAAATCAGAACTATTGTGAAGAAAATCTTCTCATTAATATTTTCTCTTTCCCAATCAATATCATCGTCCTGATTGTCACAGCTAGAGGAGATTCGATCCGAAAACTCTCGAAGTCTGAAGCTTTCGGGGGGCTCTAATGATGACAAAAGTGGGTTTCTGTAACCATGAACGGTTGCTGCCGATGTTTCGTTTCTGGTATTGGTGTTGGAAAATGAAGTTTCTTCCACACGCGGCAGTACTACTGTAGTGTTTCGGTTACGAAATCTTAGGGCAGTGAGTCGATTGGTAATTTCTGCCGACGTCTTTAAGTGGAAATAGGCTAATAAAACTGCCGGTAGGACGTAAAGGATGATGAAGAGAACCCTGATAAATTCCTGGATGTTGTTTTCCAAATTTAGGGCGCACAGGCCGACACCTTGGAACTCGGGTCCGAAATAATCTGCAATGTGGACGTACCTGGTGAAGACAGTGTACGGAAGTGCCACCACACAGCTTGAAACCCAGATAAGCAGCATGTAAAAACTGACCAACATCCGATGTCTTCCTGGGAACAGAAATGACCGATATCTATCGAACGACAGTGCCAGCAACGTTAGGAGTGTGGAGTAGAATGGAACATCTTGAATTATAGGTAAAAGATGGCAAACCACACTGCCCATAGCCCAGTTGTGATAAAAAAGTGTTGCCACAGACAAAGGCAACACAACGACACACTTTACAAGATCGTTGATGGCGTTGCTAACCAAGAACTTATCCAAGTTACCACAGTGTTTTCTCCAGTGGAACACGAAGTAAATCATGCGAAGATTCAGAAGGATCCCAGCTACTCCAACCAAAATGAATAAAGTTGCGAAAAATGGAAAGATATTTCTGACAGAATCTCGCAGTTGAGGTGCTTTTAGGCTTTCCGTGTCATTTGGGAAGCTCATCAGAAAATGTAGCATTACCCCCAAAATGTGGGTACTCGGGGGCTTACGTAGTGTTATATCGTCTTCTTCTTCCATGATGAGAAACTACTGTAAATGTTTCGTCCCTAGTTTCTTCACTTTACAGTTCTGTCATCTGAAAGATATATAATTTTTCTATGACACTCAGGTATAATTTATATACAAAATTCACACTGAGATACCATGAAACTTAAAACTTCTGAGATTTTAGTGACTTTAGTTTTAGATTTGTTAACACATAAATAAAGATGCTTTCTCACAAGAAAACAAAATTAAAAACCAAACATTTACAGGCCTAGTGACCAGTCTTGTTTGATCCAATTAATAAATAACTAGAAATAGAAGTTCCAAGAATTTTAGGTTGGCTAAATTATTAAAATAATTTATGATTATCTTAGAGTTTTAGGTACGATTTTTTACAAAACTTTCACGGCTAGACTTTCATGAGACCAGTCTGAGAAGGTAGAAGAGTCTCTTCTGTCTTAATCTCCATAAAAAAAACTTATAAGTGGATACGAATATGGAGACGAGAGAGTGAATAAACTATAAAACTCTTGTCACGTTTGAGCCGAACTCTGAAGTGCATAACAATAGAGTATTAAATAAAGCAGACGTTTACTTTCTTTTTTAAACATATATCAACTTTTGTTTTCAAAACTGAAAAGCTTATTTAAAGCACTCAAAGAAAGTGTTTGGTCAGAAGAAAAAACTGTTAGTCAGTAAAAACTGACCAGTCAATGAAGACCTTTCATCAGTGTGATGGTTGTACGAAAGATGATTTAGATTGAATATCAAATTACATAATTTTTACCGAATGCAATACAAACTTGTTGCATATGAAAATCAAATATGTATATTCAGTTTTTCTAAGTATTTCATTGCACCCAAATAAAATAGGAAATATAAGTCTTTTAAGACACTTATATTGATACATTGTTTTCTTCTAAGAAGTGAGAATTAAATGTCATACTGAATTTAGATGTCTGTTGCGTAGTTCGTACAAAATCTTTAGTTTGCGTAGTACAAAAATTAGTTCACTACAGTCTTGTCCAAAATGTTTACATACTGTTCTATATTGATGTTATTGAGTAAATACCCGAGTAGTAACAGAGAAGGTAACGTATGATCGGACAAACATGTACGAGTTATTATTCTGGTATGCATAATTTGTTTTGAGCATTTGTTCGTCAAAAAACGTATACACACCTGTTTTGTATAAAAGAGTGTTGATCTGGCAGCCAAAGTTAGTTTTTTTAAACCTCACCTTGCACTGGAGGTCCCACAATGAGTCTTTGTTGATTTTTTTATCTTCAAACTATGTACAATCAAAAAATGGAGTATGCCAAGCTGACACACTTGGGGATTTCTAAATAATAGCTAGTTTCCATGGTAACTCTTCTCCCATTTTCAAGTGTAATTGTATCGATACAAAAGGTCCTATCTGAGCAACTAAAAGTGATAGAATGTTGAATAAAGTGTCAATTTCTAGATTATTAGGGATAAAAAAGCTACTGGTGGTATCATTTTATTGATTGGAGACGTGTTTTGTACTCTTATGACAAGTCTGACAAAATAATTCTGAATTTTTCCGCAATGAAACATAAGACTAAATTAAAGAAAACATAAGCAGATTGAGTTCTTGACTAATAGAATAATTGATCCACTGTTATAAAACTTTTTACAAAAGTGTTATTGTATAATTCAATAATAACAGTAAAATGTATTCATCACTCATACAAATACAAACGTGTGGAATTATATGATGTGATATAATACTTTTTATTTTCAATTAAATTAAACTCCATTATGTTTGTGTGCATTAACGAAGATCTCCTCTCAATCATAACGACGTCGTATTTCACGTGCACTTGACACGTTTAAATGCAGTTCAAAAATATACAGTAACTAATCAGTTAAGACTATATAAAGAACAGGTATTATCAGTGCTTGACCGATTCGTATTTACTATAACTTTCTTAAATTTTAGATTAAACTTACATGTTTCTTTTAATTTTGTCTTCCAAAATGAACATTTAAAATAATTAATATCTTATTTGTTCTAACAAGTTGAACAACGTGTGCTGAGTAGAGTGCAGGGCACGTGTGTTAACTTCAATTATAACTTTTGAAAGCGTAGATCTAGGGAAGGTTAAGCATTTAATAAGTATACCCCCCATATCCTAAATTGATGTTTAACGTATTTTCACAACACAAACATCACGAATGAGACCCCCCAGAGGCACAGCGGTATGTCTGCGGACTTACAACGCTAGAATCCAGGTTTTGATACCCGTGGTGGGCAGAACACAGATAGCCCATTGTGTAGCTTTGTGCTTAATTACAAACAAACAAACAATCATGAATGAGTATGTTCATGATAATATCAGTGATGCTCTAATCCAAACCAGTCAATCTCAATTTGTACATAACGACGAATCACAAAAGTTATTGAAACAAACAATTTAGAGACGATAACCTGCATTCGCATATGGACAGAAACTTTGACCCTAATTACACTGTGCACTATAACAAAAACTGTGCAGCATCATATACCTCAAAATCACATTATAGGAAACTAGGAAAAACAGACTCTTAATCTGTCTCACCAAATTCTCAGTAAAAACGAACTCTCATTCTGTCTCACCAAACCCTCATGAAAAATGGCGTTGTCGTTCTGATATTTGAAGTTTTGACTTCAAAGCACATTATTTGTGGAGATTAGTGTCAAATCTATAAGAAGCACTCAGATCGTTAAAAGCGAGTAGTTGTGTGTACTGCAGCAGACCGCGGGCACCATATACCATTTAATGTGGGGTTCAGTGGGCATATGAGGTACAAGTGGTTTACATGCTGCAGACCGTGGCCACCATATACCATTTAATGTGGGGTTCAGTGGGCACATGAGGTACAAGTGGTTTACATGCTGCAGACCGTGGGCACCATACACCATTTCACGTGGGGTTCAGTGGGCACATGAGGTACAAGTGGTTTACATGCTGCAGACCGTGGGCACCATACACCATTTCACGTGGGGTTCAGTGGGCACATGAGGTACAAGTGGTTTACATGCTGCAGACCGTGGGCACCATACACCATTTCACGTGGGGTTCAGTGGGCACATGAGGTACAAGTGGTTTACATGCTGCAGACCGTGGGCACCATACACCATTTCACGTGGGGTTCAGTGGGCACATGAGGTACAAGGATCAGTCAGTTATTTACATGCAGCAGATGCTAGGTATCACTATGATTGTAAAACCAAAGTCAGTACAACCTGCATGTTCAAGTAGAACAATAACTCAAGAGCCATCATCAAAGGATTCAGCATTTGACCAGCTTATTTCTGATACAGATGCAGATCGATCTCGTATCAGCAATTTGAGAGAAATATATAACCAATATCAAAGTTATGGAGGTGATTTTTTTTCCAAACGAAAGTTGCTCACTGAATTGTCAACACATTTTGATGATTTTTTACAACGCCTGGACTTAATGCAAGTGTACTGGTGTTCCAAGACAAAGCCAAGCGTGAAGATTGATACACAGATCGTTCCTGTGCATAAAGACACAAAATCAACAAAGAATCATTGTGGGACCTCCAGTGCATGGTTACTTCAACCTTCCACTGGACTATGTGCTCTTCATATAATTTTTTTTCAAAACATATCAGCTCTTTGATAAGGCAATTTCTCTGTACTTAGTGTAGACCTACGCCTCGTCACGTGCCATAAGTCATACGACCTCAAATTATTGGACTGTCCAGAAACAGTATGAAACAAACGAACATTGCCAGAACAGTAGGGTACCCCCAGTGTACTGTATCCAGAATCCTGAAACTTCATTGGACTATTGGTAGACGCCGAAAAACTAATGCCGACATGACCGTATTTTGATCAGTTTACCATATCAAAGTCGAAAGAAGTCTTGCAACACCTTACGACAGAAATGGCATGAACACATTCATTCTGGGAAATCCAGAAGAACAGTATTAGTTACCACGTTTGTTCAGCCACATCACATGCGCTGATTGGCTGCCTCAGGGAGAAGAACAATGTAGAGACGATGACGTCATTTTTCCACGATGTGGAACCAGAGGGCGCGTTTGCTAGAACGCCATGACATGCGGAAGCTGTCAACAATAGAAATTGTCCATAAAGCATGTCGCTAGAGCCATGAAGTGGCACCAGAGGACGCGTTGGTACGATGAGAGTGCAAACACGACATCAACTTTATAGTAGCAAAGTCTTAGAATTAATAACTTGCATATCGTTGATTTTACAATTTCGCCTTATAAGTAAAGCATTAAATACGATTTACAAAGGCTGGCAATCCCGTATTGCTGCATACAGATTTCAACTCATGTTTTTGTTTTCATTTGTGTATTTATTTGTGTTACATGAGTTTTACAAAGGCAAATGGTTTTACTAGGCGGATGATACAGTTATATTATTACTCTACAGCCGATTGTGTTTGGGTGTTAAAACATGTAATTAAAGTATAACTTTAATTATATGTAAAACTATTACTTGTTTAGCATACTAAAAGTTTTCTTGACGTTTTATTGTAGTTTTCATTTATATATATTTATTTGTATTGCAAAGGCAGATAGTGTTCTGGAGGATTGCATACAGATTTGAATTTATGTTTATATTTTTCACTTATATATTACATGTGTTATATAAAGGCTGACAGTGTTACTATAGGTGGACGGTGGTTATTATTACAAGGTCTATAGACGGATGGTCTTACTAGGCATATTGTGTGAGAGACTTACAAAGGCGGATGCTGTTACTAGGGTCGGACTACTGGTAATACTAAGATTCTATAGGCAGGTGTTGTTACTAGGTAGATTTTGTTACTAAAGTTCTATATATGCAATGTGTTACTAAGGCGCAAGTTGTTTTCCAAGGTGTCTCAATATGCGATTACGTCATCAATATGTAGATTTAAGTCCTAAAGGTTACAAGTAAAACAATTTTATTGTTTCAACAGTTTGGCTTTACGGATTAAATATGCTATTCCTTTATCCATATAACTATGAGTTTAATTGTTTTTGACGAGGTACTTCATTTTACATAT